CCTTGAGGCGACATTTGTTGTGATTTGGCGCTATATAAATAAAATTGAATTGAATTGAATTGAATTCTATTTCCTCCTTTGGTCAGCTTATTATCACAGCAAGGTATCACTGGCAGGGTGTTGGTGTTAATTGCCTGGCTCTTGTTCTTCCCATTCAGCTAACTCTTCAAGACTTGCCTTACCCTCTGCTGGCATTTGGTGGTTTTCCTAGCGGCCTCTTTGTGGTTCTTATCTGCCTGTAGGATTCTAAGGTACTTGTAGCTGTCCTCAGTGTCTGCAGTGTTCATTTCTTGTAGTACAATCCCTCCGTTCTGACTACCTCCCTCTCTTTTTTACCATTCAACTACATGTCTTCAGTCCAAATAGCATTCCAATGTCATTGCTGTAGGTTCTAGTAGTTTAGATCAGTGAATCAATGTCTCATTCACTCTTGGCATACAGCTTCATGTCATCCTTATAGAGTAGGTGGCTGACGATTGCATTTCGTAGTTGGTATCTGTAGGGGGTTCAGGCCTATGCAGAACAGCAGTGGGGACAAGACTTGTGCTATTGGCTTGATGTTGGCCTCTAGTGTTGTTTGCCACGTCTCCATCGAATTTCTGATAAGGCCATTAGGTTCCTGTTTTCCGGTTCTCTGCATTCCAGGATCCATGGGTTGAGGCACTGAGTTATGACTCAGTGCCTCAACCCATGGAGGCACTGAGTCATAACTCAGGGCTTGCAGTCAATCCAAGCGGTGTACAAGTTGGTGAGCCTGGTTTTACAGTCTTGGGTGACTGCTCTGTCTGACAGGAGCTGGTGTTTTGCCCCTGTGGTGTTTCTTCCTATTCCTATCTGTGTCCCACTCATATATAAAGCCATATGCCAACACTATTTATTTTTTTGTGAGTACTGTTCATATGTATATAGTGGCACAGAATTGTGCACATCACCCTCCTTTCTTTCCCACACTGCACTGAGTAGGAGATGCTCTGTATCTCATTGTACACATGTGTAAAGGCATTCTCTACTCTACTCTCTACTACTACTCTCTAGTGACCGGGAGGTTGTTGGTTCGATCTGCTCCATTCTGCACGACCTCTGCCCTTCCAAATTTGCACCAGATCTGGTTGGCCACCTGAAATGGAGTCTCCACCCTCCTGGACTTGGTCGCTTACTTGACAGTGTCTGCCACCATTTTCAATGGCCCTAGCACATGAACTACTCTGAGCGAGCAGAGCAGGCGTTAGCCAGAGAGAAGCCAGAAAGCCAGAGAAAAACTCTTGCTCACTGGGCTAACAGCATCAGCGACAGTAAGAACCAACTGGTTGCATCAGTTTACAAGACCTGTATTCCAGAAGGATACAGCCAGCTGCAGCGACACTAGGTGAGTGCCGAGTGTTCAACTCGCAAGACCCCAAGAAACAGACCAAGTGCCCACAGCATCAGCTACAGCAAGGTTCCACTGGATTCATGAACCTGTGAGACCACAGATAATATACCAGGAGCAATCACAGCCACATATTAGAGTCACTACAAACCTTTCACTACAGACCTTTCCTTTCTTTTTTTCTCTTTTTAGGGCAACAGCAATTATGGGAACCAACCAACAGGCTTCACAACACAAAGGCAATGGACATACACTGTACAATGCAAAGCACACACGCACACTACATCTGACAGCAAGTGGAGATCAAAGAATCATAGTTTTTTATATCTGCACAGATGTTTTATAGGACAAGCCGGAGTGTCTTAAAGAAGTATCCACATGTCCTGATAAAGGGGGTTCCTTCTCCATACATATGGAATATGTAAAGAGTGGAGAGACAGTCTTGATGTATAGTGAGCAAGAGTGTAAGATTTACTGCCAAGATTCTCCACCCAGAATGTGGAGAAATTGAATAGCATCTCAGTTTATGCAAATTTTCCCTGCTGTTGTCCTTGCATACAGTTTCTGGTATTCTGTGCTGTTCTGTATGGGGATTCTGTACTCACTCAGAGATTAGAGTGTACACTGAATTATTATCACCATGAATTCAAACTATAAATACATAAATATATTAATTCAAGCCAACAGCACCTCCTTTCAGTGTAACAGCCTGGTGACCAGTGATGGGGTTTCCCTGGTGAGGAGGAAACTGGTGACAGCAGTCCATCTTTGGAGGGCCACGACATGGATGGAAGGACCCCTCTGGTGTCTTCCTGGAGGGGTCCTTCATCGCTGACTGAGGCGAGAGGCTACGTCTGATCACCCTCATCACTGGAGCCTCAGACCGAGGTGGGGCAGCTGTCAAGCCCGATAGCAGCATTGGAGAAATCGGAGTGTGGAGCTGCAGCTGCAGCAGAGAGGATGAGGAAGCAGAGCCAACAGATGATGAGTCCAGACTCAGAGCCAAATTTAACCCCTAGTCTCGGTGAAACTGGCAAAATCCAACAACCAGCATAAACCGAAGTCCATTACTCTAAATATGGGGAAACAGCAGGAAAGAAAATAAGATTACAATATGAAGGACCAGATTGTGACGATCGTCAGATTTGTTATTTTGAATGTGCTTTTTGTAATGAAAATCTGTTTGTGTTTTTCCATTTGTATGGACTTCACACCCCACTGGCAGTCAACCAGTAAGATCATGTTGATTTTGCGCGTTAGGAGTGTTCAGCGAAGTAATCTGTTTCTTACTGTATGTGGTCTAGCAGGAAGTGTTTTGAGTTACCGGGAAAAGTAGCAGCGTGGCAAATCTAGTAATTCAATGGTAATTAAATATTTTAATACAGCTGAATTTGATTGTTATTTTATTTGGATGATTTGTTATTTGGTTGTTGAATTTGTCTGTTATTTTAAAGGTCTAACCCTTTAAAAATAAATCGCAATCTTCTGTGCTGCTATATCTCCATGGGTATCTCTGTCAGCTATGGCCATCTCTTTCTGCTACTAACATCGCAGAACTATTGCAATGCTCTGGAGTAAATAGAAAACCCATATTCTCAGTTTTAAAGGCTCTAGAGTGAAAGAAAAATATTTTTCTAGCTTCTAAAACAGCAGTGCTTGCTTTGAATGCTAGTGGGTGATTAAGCACCATAAAACACAATTCAAAACCTGAGAAAAAAAGTGGGAAAAGTTCATTATTAACATCAAATATTGAAATCGACAATGTCACAATGTCTGTTTTTCACAGCAATATATATTTCATCAAAACAAGGGCAAACCTCACAGAATGTTATGTTCAATGTTATTTATTTGACTTCATAACTGTATGTAACTACAATGAAAAAGGTTTAGTTTTTGACAAATGTTTTTTATGAAGTTAAATGTTTATATAAGCGGCTCTCACAGACAATCACGAACTTTTAGCCTCTCTGTGTAAGGAACAGAATTGCATAGCAGTGGCCCTTGCTATGCAATTCTGCCTTTTTGAAGAATTCTACGCATCTCTCTGTTAGCAGTCAGCTGAAGCGCAGTCAAATCCATTGCCAATAAAAGTGTAGTTCAATATGTCCTGTTAGGACCAACATGATCAGCTACCCCTGCAGATAGGATTGTACTTCATGCAAAAGGTACTGCAGCCTGAAATGCAGATCAGTAAGGTTCCTTGGCAACTGTTACCCAACTGCCATCAGATTGTTAAATTCACAACGAATATCATAATAAACACACAATTCTGATGTTTGACTGTATGACAATAAAGGAAGCAAGGCCCCAGCAGGAGTTCAAACCAATAACCTTCTTGCTGTAAGATACTGCATCACCAATGACCAGACAGTAGGTGATGCTTTTGTATTCTTTATTAGGTACATAATAAAGCACAGAGCAGGTTAGGTGTGCAGCTTAATTTGCATGGTGACAAATGCAGATGAGAAGTGAGAGAACCTTTGTAAAGCAAAAACACCAGGTCCAATCTGAAAAGTGATCTCAATAAGCACCCAATCCTGCTTCATATTACAGGCTCTGAAACGCTGGAAAGAAAACTCTCTGGGTCAGAATGTTGCCTTCTCTCACCTTGCACTGGGCTGAAAGGTAGTACCACATTCAGACAACCTGGATTACTGTTACACTTCTCAAGTACAATCAGCAGACTGCAATCTGATGCTCAGGCTAGTCCCTTAGATAGGATAGAGTTTCAGGTACAAGCTGTGTAATTTTAGCCAGCACATTCTAATGTGACCTTTAGAAATGGACAGTGTCTGTTTTGTGGTGGGTTCCTATGGTTTTATTGTGCACATTTATTGTACACTTACTGAAGGTCTTTTTTTCACAGGAAATGACATTACACTCTAACTATGTTTTATAAAATAGGATTAGAGGATAGTTACAAATCTATAGGTTGGGTAAGAAAACAAAGTGCATATAAAAAAAAAAACAGCCAAACAGGACTGTGAACTCTAACCACATCTGAAATTGATTTGACCCAAACATGAAAACAGCTCTCTATCAGCAGCACACCAAATTTTAAACACCTTTCAAAAACACCCAGAAGAAGCATTTTTACTTCGCTATTCATATCTCCTTCATATCTCATCTGCAATGACTGCAGTCATAATGTGGCTGTAGTCAGTCTACTGAAGCCCACTTGATGTGAGTTTAAGTCAAACCCAAATCCATTCAGAATACAAAGCAGAAATCATAAATTTCAAACTGGAGCTTCCTAAAATCTAAGTATATGTTTGCTAAAGTCACATTAAGCCATGTTCACACACTTCTACAGATAAAACCCATGCTGTAAAATGGCAATAGCCACAAAAACAATGTATTTTTATTTTCAATGGTTTTTCAAATGTAAAAGTCTGACCAAGTGAAAAATGTATCTCTAGTTAGATTTCTGTCAAAGAGGAATTATGTGAAGTCCTGAGACATAGCACACCATGTTTGCAGCTACACGTGAAAACAGCTGGGATTAACAAACACACTTATAACTCATGTTAAAAGTGTGTAACGATCAAAACAACAGAAGCACCCTCCGGAACATACAACCAAAATCACATGTAACTGATTTTAGACTAGGCTTCTATTATTCTAATTATTCCGTGGTCATTGTAAAGCATTCACATCCACGATGCCAGGCTCCAGGAGGGCAGAAGTGCATATTGCCTGCTAACTCACTGGCAGAAGTGGGTGAGTTAGTGAGATTACGAGTGGACTTACCTGGTCATGGAGCTCAGATGCTGCTCTCTAGTCCAACTTCTTGGTGGGAACAGCATCTTCCTGAAACTGAAACACACACAGCTCAGCTCACACACACCTCTGCTGTCTGTCTCACTCTCTCTCTGCTGTCTGTCTCTATTAGTTTGTGTCTGCTTCCTCCAGCTCCTC